TAACACCTCTCATTCTTGAGACTTTTTCAACGAAAAAAATGAAAAACCAAAACGTCTTATTCAAAACCCCAATTATGACATCCCTTCTCTCCCACTTCACACCTCGGAACATACCGTTCTTATAGAGATAAACGCGCTTTCACATCTTCTTAACCCGAAAGGTGGGGAGAGGGAAGGTTCCTTTTTTGAGGGTACTCCCCGGGAACAGATCCAGTGGAGACGGGGTGGGGCCTGTAGCTCAGAGGATTAGAGCACGTGGCTACGAACCACGGTGTCGGGGGTTCGAATCTCTCCTCGCCCACAACCGGTCTTGACAGAGCCCCTGGGGGTAGGAAAATCATGGTCGGGATAGCGGACCAAAGGCTATGGAATTTGGGTGTGGGTTTTGGAATGCCTTTTTCTTTTTCTTTCTTATTTCTCGTGAATGAAGGAATCATTACTCATAGTATGCCGACCCGGCCCGTCTTTTTTTGTTTTACGCCCCGAAACTCTTCCTCAGCCGGGCTTGGGCAGTATAGGCGAGCAAGTACAAGTATTAGTAGCATAACAAAAATGCCTTTCTCGTCATTAATATGTTTGCTCGCGGCAATTGTGAACTCTCGGGAGAATCGATGACTGCATCTTTGATGCAGTGCTAATACATCTGAGAATTCTTAATTGGCTAGTTGCTCCATAGCCCCAGGGCTATGGAGCAAAGGATTAGCCAGGACCTACGCTGAGGTATTGACGGTCATTTTCAAATCTTGCAGAACAGAATGGGATACGATGAGATAGAAACAAAGAAAGGGTTCAAAACCTACCCTTAATGGTCAAAGCGAGCCCCTTTAGTCTGAATTCGTTAATTCAGAATGAATCAAATCTCCCCAAGTAGGATTCGTACTTACGACCAATCGGTTAACAGTCGACCGCTCTACCACTGAGCTACTGAGGAACAATGGGAGATTTGATCGCATAGAGTTCAATTCCCGTTCTCAACCCATGACCAATATGAGCTCAACCCATGACCAATATGGAAAGTTCAAAAAGATCATATAATATCATCATATAATCTCAAATAATAAGAAAGCATAAAGAAATCAAATAAATAATAAGAAAGCATAGTTTATCTTAAAAAAGCAGAGTTTAGTTTTCATTCGGTTTGAATAAATTACATATCTCAGTTTCAATAAATTATAAATTCAAAAATTCAACAAATAAACAAATAATATATTATATAATATATAAACAAATAATATATTATATAATATATAAAAAATATTTCGATTTGATTTTTACATCAAATCAAAAAATCAACTAACAAGACTGGAGGAAGTCTCATGATTTTTCAATCTTTTCTGCTAAGTAATCTAGTACCCTTATGCATCAAGATAAGCAATTCGGTCGTTGTGGTCGGACTCTATTATGGATTTCTGACCACATTCTCCATAGGGTCCTCTTATCTCTTCCTTCTCGTAACTCAGGTTATAGAAAAAGAACCCGAGAAGAAGGTATCAGCAACAACTGGTTTTATTATGGGACAGCTCGTGATGTTTATATCGATCTATTATGCGCCTCTGCATCTAGCATTGGATAGACCTCATACAATAACTTTACTAGCTCTACCATATCTTTTGTTTCAGCTCTTCTGGAACAATTCCCACGAAGACGAATCTTGGTATTGGACTTATGAGCTAGTTACCAAAACTTCGATGTTCAGCCTTCAATGCGTATTCCTGAATCATCTCATTTTTCAATTATTGAACCTTTGCCTTTTCACAGGTTCAACGTTAGCCAGATTAGTTAACATTTATATGTTTCGATGCAACAACAAGATGTTATTTGTAACAAGTAGTTTTGTTGGTTGGTTAATTGGTCACATTTTATTCACGAAATGGCATGGATTGGTATTAGTCTGGATGCGGAAAGGGCCTTCTATTCGAAGGGCTATTCGAAGGAATGAGTATAACTACAAGCTATCACGACAAGTAAATGTAAATTCTAGGGCTCAGGTCGCTAGTATTTTCTTAGTTATAACCTGTTGCTACTATTTCAACAAAATTCTGTCACCTATTTTTGGTTATAAATTCATAGAAGCCAAAAATCTGATCGAAGAGCTCCAAAATAAGGACAAAAGAGATGTAGAAATAGAAAGAGCAGACAACTCAAGATTCAAAAAGAATAAAAAAACTAAAAATAGGAATCCTTTTGAAGAACCTCTTTTCAGTCTTCTTTTCGATCCAAATCGGTGGAACCGACCGTTTCGATTCATAGAGGCGGGGGCTCTCAGTGCCAACGCGGGGGCTGTCAGAAACGAAATGTCACAATATTTTTTTGACATATGTAAAAGTGATGAAAACGAAAGAATCTCTTTTACATCTCCACCCAGTTTATCCATTTTTTGGAAATGATAAAAAAAAGGATATCGGGCAAAAAAGCTTCACCCTACAACCCTTGACGGTATCATCTAAAAAGGAAGGGTTTCACCGACGATTTGCTATATCGAATTAAAGGTCTAGACAAAAAATCTAGACCTTTGAATGTACTCGAAACAAGGACTCGGTTATG